AAAATGTATTGAAAAACACTGACGATAAGTGTGAGCAAAAAGTGTCATGGTGTGTACGAGCCTAATACTAAACAAGGCAGTCATTCTGTGGTGTAAAATCTGAGCTGCAGCTGTTTAGAGAAATAACAGTAGGTGGCGCCAAACACATCAGCCCAGAGCAGATTATATATACACAGCTTTACTATACAGTATAAACAGAAAACGTGCTCTGTTTTCAACAAGGTTATCTTAGTCAACCAAAACCAAAACTACAGGTTAAGAAAAAAACTATTTTACAGCAAGTTAACTATGCTTATATTGGTTTACGCAACTCCTGATTTTGACAGTAATGTGGTAATAATGTGCACCTTTTGTAAAACTGTTTTAGAATGTTAATTATTGAGAAAAACAGTTAGGGTTTGCACAAGTGCCATTTAGTGTCAGGGGTGAATTTACACATTTTATTCGGCTCACTGCTGGTAAAAATCGTTTGAGGTTTCAGAAAAACGTTTTTAAAAACACTGAAGAAAAGCATCCCAGATATTTTTCTTAACCCCAACCAGTTTTCACCACTGTTGATCATAGTGAAAGATGTAGAAGAGTATGTAATCAGCTCTGGACTGCTGTTTGGCGCCATCTACTGTTCTTTGTCTAATCAGCCGCAGCTCAGATTTTACACAATTTGAGTGCTTTTTATTTCTGAAAACGGTTATTATTTTTGCAAATTTTAATTTTAATTTTAGTTATTTTTTCAGAGACTTTCGTTAGCTTTTTAAAAGTATTTCACTTTTCAAGTTCATAAAGGGCCAACTAGCATCAGTGGTAATTCAACACATCATCGCCAGTCAAAACATTTGGATTATGAGAAAAATGTCACAAAAAACACAGATGAAAAGCATCCCGGTGTGTACGAGCCTTAATAAAAAGCTAATGAAAGTCACTGAAAAACTAACTAAAATAATTTTTTTTTTAAGAAAAAAAACCGTTTTAGAATTAACAATCTGAGCTCTACTTCAGAGAAATAACAGTAGGTGGCGCCAAACACATCAGTCCAGAGCAGATTATAAACACAAACAACTTTACTATATAAACAGAAAACGTGTTCTAGCTTTCATTTATTTAACAAAAATGTAAACTAGGCATGTTTACCCTTGTGAAAAAGAAGAGCGCTTAACTGTATTAAATGAATAGTTTTAACACAAATCTGAAAAGTATATATATATTTGTAATTATTATTAAAAGTCACTAAAGTAGAGTACTTTAATGACTATTTTCAACACACTTCAGTGCATTTTTTACAATACATTAAGTACTGCCTAAACTTAATCATATATCTGCTAAAAACAATATGGTAATTTAGCTACATGTAAAATATAATCAATAATACTTTCCAGACAAGCTGGTATATGATTGGGTTTATCTTGAAGATAAAAAAAAACATGTAAATATATGAATGTGTGATAATATACATGCCTCTAATGACTATTTAAACACACATTTTCATCTGAAGAACAGTCAGATAAACTTATTTTGATAAAAAAAAAATTTAATATTTTATTTCATTATTATTCAGATTTAATTTAATCATTAACAAGTACAATTTACTTGTTGCTGTTCTACGTCATGTTGAGTTCAAAATGTAAAGCTTTTTATTCAATTAACCCAATATTCAATCGGTATTTTCAATTATGTTTGATACAACCATGATGAAAGCTAATTATAAATGTATTACGACAGTTAACGCTAATACAAACCCATGTACAATTAAAGAAGATAGAATGACTTCAGCTGTTTTATCGGATGCTTTCTTTCCTATAAAAACGTTAACGTTTAAGAAAGAAAGAAAGAAAGAAAGAAAGAAAGAAAGAAAGAAAGAAGCTTAATCTATCAGGCAGAACAGTAACACGTCGTACATTAATCTGAAGTGAAAAGTCTCACCATTATTGACAGGCTCCTCTTCAGGGTTTAACCTTCATTCTCGGACGGAATCACCGGCTGTGTTTTTTGAAAGTTGTTCATCAACAGTATCGAGTGTTTATAAACGTGAATAAAGTCAAATCTCTGCTGTAACGGAGCGCAGAAACTCAAACCTCACAGCCCACATCAGGAGAAACAATAAACCGCGCCTGTCATTCAGAGGGCGGAGCCTGAGCATCAAATCAATCGCTGATTGGACAAAGAGACGCTCACGTGTATCTGTTTAAATTACGCTATAATAATAATAATAATAATAATAATAAAAATACAGCACAATGAGGAGTAATAACATCGGCTTTCACTCATTAAAACAGTGTATAAAACGACGAGTGATAATGATTTCCTAAGAACTCTAGTGTGATGATGATAATATTGTCTGTCCCAAAAATCTTGTCATATTTTGAAGGAATTATCGCGTTATTACAAGATTTTGCCACAAAATACTCATTAATTTTCATCTGAAATCATCACGAATCACAATTGAAGTTGCAGCTGTATATAATTATTATTTTTATTGTTAAATTAAACACACACACACACACACACACACACACACACACACACACACACACACACACACACACACACACACACACACACACACACACACACACACACACACACACACACACACACACACACACACACACACACACACACGTTTATATAATTTAAACATGTTTATTATTGTTTAACAGGCTATGCTCAGATTTTTTTTACCTCTTTTCTCAGCCAAACAGCTGCAAACATTCAGAGTTTGTGTGTGAACTTTAGCTCAGACAAAGGAAACTTTAACAAAGATTTAATGACACCAGTGTGCGACATTCTCTACTAAACACACACACACACAATTTCAGTATACACTAGCCGGCCACTTTATTAGGTACACCTTTCTAGTACCGGGTTGAACCCCTTTTGCCTTCAGAACTGCCTTAATCCTTGGTGGCAGAGATTCAACCAGTTACTGGAAATATTCCTCAGAGATTTTGCTCCAGATTGACATGAAGTTCAGTTCAGTTCAGTTTCAGGTTCAGTGGGGTTAAAAAAAAACTACTGAGAGTCCAAACACTGAAGAGCAAATCCATCGATGCGCAGCTCTACCAATCCCAAACCATGCTAGCTAGAGGCGACAGCGGAGAGGGAAAAAACTTCATCAAATGGCGAAAGTGAAGAAAAAAAAAACCTTGAGAGAAACCAGACTCAGCTGGGCAAGACCATTTTAATTTCATTGCTGACCAAACGTGTTGTGCAGAGCTGCAGTCTCAGCGGCGGAGGCTGGAAGCTGGCCTCAGCGAAGACTCGTCAAGTAGCCATCAGAAGATGGAGACACTGTGCTCATAAAGGGATGGACATGGTCAGCAGCAATACTCAGGTAGGCTGTGGCGTTGATGCTCAATTGGTACTAATGGACCCAAAGAAAATCTCCCCCACACCATTACACTACCACCACCAGCCTGAACCGCTAATACAAGGCAGGATGATCCATGCTTTCATGCTGTTGAGGCCAAATTGAGCCGACAATCCGACAGCAGAAATGGAGACTCATCAGAGCAGCAACGTTTCTCCAATCTTCTATTGTCCAGTTTTGGTGAGTCTGTGTGAATTGTAGCCTCAGTTTCCTGTTCTTAGCTGACAGGAGCGGCACCCGGTGTGCTCTTCTGCTGCTGTAGCCCATCCGCCTCAAGGTTGGACGTGTTGTGTGTTCAGAGATGCTCTTCTGCAGAGCTCGGTTGTAGCGAGTGCTTATTTGAGTTACTGTTGCCTTTCTATCAGCTGGAACCAGTCTGGCCATTCTCCTCTGACCTCTGGCCTCATCAACAAGGTATTTGTGCCCACAGAACTGCCGCTCACTGGATAGTTCCTCTTTATTCTCTGTAAACCCTAGAGATGGTTGTGCGTGAAAATCCCAGTAGATCAGCAGTTTCTGAAATACTCAGAGCAGCCCGTCTGGCAGCAACAACCATGCCACGATCAAAGTCTCTTAAATCCCCTTTCTTCCCCATTCTGATGCTCGGTGTGAACTGCAGCAGATCCTCTTGATCATGTCTACATGCCTAAATGCAGTGAGCTGCTGCCCTGTGATTGGCTGATTAGAAATGTGTTAACAAGCAATTTGACAGTTGTACCTAATAAAGTGGCCGGTGGGTGTATCAACCTATATACTGATTTTTGTTTATGAACTGGCCACAGTGTGGCACTATAATTATATTAATGTTGAGTTCTAATACACAGCTCATCATTTACTCATCCTCCGCTTGTTGTTTTCTGTTGTTATGAGTGTCTCTCTTCTTTTTTGTCAAGTTTTATTTGGTCATTGAATAGACTTACAATAATCACAAATTCCAGGATTAATGAGTTTCTCTCTTTTGTTAAGCACAAAACAATATACTGAAGAATGCTGGAAAACAGCCATTGACTTCTATTGTAGCTTTTGTTCCAGCATTCTTCAAAACATCTTATTTTGTGTCCAACAGAAGAAAAATAACTGCTTGCAACAACTTGAGTGAGCGTAAATGAGGAAAGTGAACAGTGCCTTTACATTTGTAGATTTAATCTCGAGTATTGGTTTCACTTTTACTATTCGTCATGTCCCTCAACCCTTGTGTGTACTGCTCAGATTGACTCTTCTTTGGTGATGTTGGTGCTGTGTTTGCTCCATTGTCTTCCAT